ATATGGCTCCTTTGGAAAAGGATCGAAATAGTAACCAGGGGGGGGGGGGGGTTTAACAAGGGGAAACCCCGGCCCCGGGGGGGGGAAAATCCCCCCACGCCCCCCCCGGGGGTTGGGGGTTCCCCCTTGGGGCAAAAGCACCTTTTAAAAGAGGAACCCGGGGCCCAAAAGGGGCCCTTTGGTTTTTCCCTCCCGGGGGGGGGGAAAAGGAAGCCAAAGCCCCAAACCCGTTTTTTGGGTAGGGGGGGAAAGGGGGGGGGGGGGGGGGGGGGATACGTAGGTTGCTTGGCGAGAGGGAAACATCACCTCCAAGCTTCATCTCTTGAGAACAACACAAATCCATCACGAATAAAGTAACACCACCGCCATCACAATCAAGGATAACAGCACCAACAGGAAGTCAAGGTCACCTCTCCTCCTTCTCGCGGTAGAAGCTTCCCTAGGAGAGACTTGCAGGTGGCCATGTCTCCCTCCCCTCTGCTGACCCCCGTACCAAGGAGGGCAAACCTGTAGGGGACATACGTAGCACATGGGGTACGGTGCAATAGAGGAGTGAGAAGAGGGGGGAGAGCGGGTGGAAAGTAGCGTCGCAGGGAAAGGAGAGGGAGACGAGGGGTTACAACGACACATATTCGACAAGTAGACAGGCAACCACAGACGGTCACAAGCTAGACCAGGACAACCACAAGACAAACGAACAAGGAAAAAGAGCAAGAGAGAGAGCGAAACAGGTAATGGGTCGTCAACAATCGAACAAACCACTGGCAAGCGGTATCTGCCACGAGACTGCAGACAGAGACGGGCGAGGCCCTCCGACAATAAACACACACATGTACACACGCCCACGCCACCCGCCTACGCGCCGGTTTGATGACATTCGCCGGTGCCTCCCGAATGGCCATATCCCCCCACACAAAACCACATACACGCGGGTGTGTGAGCCACACGACAAGCAAAAAACAAGGTTCAGTCAAGCACGCCCACCGCACCTCTTGTTGAAATCCGTCCTCGCCATGCGGTTAGGGTACGCTGCCCTAGATATCCGGATCGCCTCCACGACTCCGGCGCACCGAAGCTGCTCCGCAACCTGTGCACCGGCGGAAGACAAAACGTGCGGCAAAAGAGAACGAGGCACTGCCGTGAGCTCCTCCGTCATCGTTTGTAAAAAAACGCAAAAAGCCTCGCTCGAGAAAAATGTACAACTCACGACCAACGTGTGATTCGCAGAGAACCGTCGAATGCTTCCGAGACCTCTAGCCTTGGTCTACTGCTGGTCCGCAGGGTATGAGTAGACTATATCCACCGACGGCATTATTCAGCAACGGCATTCTGTACCTCTGCCAAGATGGATCCAACCACGTCACTGCTGCTGTATTAGAGCTAGCGAAAGGTCCCATAAGAAGGGTTGCTCCTTGTCACACCCACCCATACCTTCGCGTTTTCCATCCGGCCGGGAAGCTTAGCCGCGTTAGGCTTGATGCACCGCACGTACTGCACCGAAGTGAGTCCAATCGTGTCCCTTCAGTCACCACCATCGCCAGCAACAACGTGAGCAGCAACACAGTTAGTTGAGAGAGTGGGTGTGGGGTGTAAGGCATCGTTTATGTATGTGTGTCCTTCTCGCCTGGTCTACCTCGAATCCACGCAAGAAATGCCGCCAAACGACAACAATCTCGAATCCAAGCAAGAAGAACCGCAAAACAACAACAACAACAACGATAGGAGCAGCGACGCGGCGAGTGGCGTGGAGGCATGGGAGCAATGCAAGCAGTGGCTGCGAACAAGATGTCTATCTCAGCGGCGGCCGAGGCAGCATCAACAGTAGCAGCCACGCCACCAGACTAAAAGACAGCCATTCCTTGACAGCAGGTCCAGAAACACCACCACACCGAAAAATGTGTCGAGCGTCCTCACAATTGGCACGGCACTGCTCACGTCGGACACGGGAGCACGTATCTACTGAAAGCACCAACCGTCGACAAGGAGGCGCTATCGCAAACCATGAAACACACCCCCTCTAGCAAAAGGCAGCAGTTCCTCCATCGCCGAAACCTACAGTCGAGAAAGGAACCGCCTACAACACAAACAGCAGCTCAGAAAAGCTGTGTACGGTACGGCACTCACCATGTACCTGGTTGCCCGACGTCCCACCGACCACCTACCACCACCACTAATTACTAACACCAACACCACCATCATCATGACCATCACCATCACTTTCACAACGTCCGACAAACGCTCAAAGAACAAGCATCACGCCCGACTTACATGAGCGTTGTCAAGCTGCCCTTGAACTTTGTTGCGAGGGTGTTGGTGGCCATCGAAGACTTTTTTCGTGGCGCCCCCCCGCCCCCCCCACTGTCCCCTTCCGCGGAGCCGGGATCCGGAGCAAATACTTTGGCGATCTGGGGGAAAGGAGGGCGGGTGTAAGCAGGAAGGGGCACGCAAAAAAGAAGTAGAGGGTGAAAACATGGGGGTAAGGGCAACCAAACAGCTCACCACGGCAAACCGAATGTTTCGAAGGGTGCGATACCCTCCGCGTCACCCGCACGTCACCTTCTACGGAGAACAGCAGAAGCAACCTTCGGTCTTCAAACATGCAAGCCTTATTTCCCGGTTCTTTTTTTAAGCAGCCAAGACGTCGCTTTCGTGTATCTACGAGCCCCGCCGCAAGAAGCAAACCATCCAGCGAGTGCGCAGCAAAACCTACCCCCCCCCCCCCCCCCTTCCTCACCAATGGGACCCAACTCTTGGCCAGCAAGTCCCGGCAGGGCTCCCCCAAGCTATCTCTGTTCTTGTCCAGGAAGCCTTCGGCGTGGTACAAAAACTCCCCGGGGTAATGCCCCACGGAAAACTCGAAAGGGCCGGCAAGCTTGGCCCTCGCGAACGCCGAATGGTCCGCATGGAGAGTGGCCAGCTGAAACAACAAGGAACATCGAGGTTTCGACGTGTACACGATTGAATTCACAGGAGGGGGGGGGGGGGAGGGGGGGGGTGTACTCATAGTCGTGCATGCCGTAGTCGTTGGACCATTGACCTCGCATCCCTACAAAGCCGGGACGGAGCATGCCGGGTTCTCACCGGACCAGGCTCTCACATCACCAAGCGCGAAGGGCCGTGAGGTATTCGGCGAGTCGCATGAAGGGTGCGCTGCATCCTGCTAAGGGTGTTCGGCATCTTGTACTTACTTCCTTGCCTATGGATGACAGCTGCGTATGACTTAATTTATTTTCTGGTGCTTTCACTTCCAGAGGCAGCTGTAAGCGGTGTGTAACTGCCTCGAGGGTGCTTGACCAATATTAACACAACGTGCGATTATCCCCTTTGCGCGGAGTCAGGGTTCTCGACTCCGCACAACATCTACTCGACCACCATTCACGGTTACCGCAAAAAAAAAAAACGAAGGCAAAAAAAAAGCGGTGAACCTGGTTGCCGAGCTCACGAAGTGATAGGCTTGTTTTACAACATCGCTGGCCAAGCGACGAAAACCCAACCTCGATGGCAAACACCGGGGGGGGCGGCTTGTTTTACAACGTCGTTGCCAAGCGACGAAAACCCAACCCCGATGGCAAACATCGGGGGGGGGGGGAGGGGGCAAGGGGGGCTCAGCAATGTTGTTTCTGGGGCTACCGAAAGGGTCTCAGACTGCACGCAGAATGATAAATCACACGTAATGGTCGCTGCCAAGCAAACGCACACCTGCTCTCTCCCCGCCCCAACATCCAAGCTACGTACGACAAATACGGCACACCCAGTAAAAATCAACATGACAACAACCCACACGAGGCCCTTTGACATAACGCCAAGAACAGCACGAGACGGTCGCGGCCACCCAGCCCCACCCGCCTTCTCGCACCTTGCTGACAAAGCTGTTGTCGCCTCCCCGGGGCCGGACGCACTCCTCGTTGAGCACGGCGATTATGCCCATCCTGCTCTCCACCAAACCCAACACCTCGGCGTTGTCCGAGAAGTCGACGTGGCTCCAAGGGATGCCCTCCTCCTCGTACTCCGCCTGAGAATAACCACGACAGAGAATTAGGGGGACAACAGGCACACACAACAGGCAGAGTTAAGGCAGACAAACACCACGACACTTACGGTAGCAGCAGCAGGAGGAGGAAAAGGAGGAGGAGGAGGAGGGAGGAGGAGAAAAAAACTGGGAAGAAGGAGGCAGCGCGATTGACCTTTGGCTGGACAAAAGGACACTACTAGATGAAATACTCCCAGACGGTTCCCCACGCCTCGTCCATTACCCCACAACGCTTCCGATCTATCTCGGACACCGCACTACAACACGAAAACACGACGGACGTCATGTGGCCAAGGGTGAACTCACACCGCCGGACCTCCTAAGAGCCCAACAGGCGTACCTGCACGTTCTTGAAGACGTCCTGGGTGAACTTCTGCTGCAGCTTCTCGTTCGCGTAGTTGATGCACAGCTGCTCGAAGCGGTTGACCTTAAAGCTCTCGAAACCGAAGATGTCCAGGAGGGCTACCGTGCCGCCCGGCGCCAGGGCCTCGCCCGCGTGCCTCGTCTTTGCGCCCGCCCCCGCCCCGCCCGGACCATCGGCGTCCGGAGCAGAAGACGCGGTGCTCCGATTGATGCGCTCAACCAGCCACTCAAAGAGCCTGCAAAACACCAAGTCGAGAGGGGGGTCGGGGTACTCATTCATATAGCGTTGGGGCCTGCAGCATCACCCTTTGCCCTCTGCGAATCGGAGGTACCCCCGAACGGCGTAAAAAAACGCCTCCAAACCTCGAGTGCTCGGGCCGGGCCACGGGTTCCAAACAAAACGCGAATCCTCAAGCTCGTCTACATCTCCTTCCTCCTTCTTGCTCGAGCCCCATCTGATGGGACACTACCCTAACCTTACCGCGCGCCCACCGCACACAGACCCGTCACAGAAAAAAAACAGCAGGATACTCTACAGGACGCCGCGTCCTAGCAAGCGGTTGCACGTGTGCCTGCAGCGTCAACTTCCTCCCCTTCCTCCTCCTCTTCCTCCTCTTCCTCCTCCTCCTCCTCTTCCTCCTCTTCTTCTTCCCTCACCCGCCGTAGATGGCCTTGGCCATCGCGTCTCGCGCGTCGGCCGCCTGCGCCGGGCTGCTGTCCGCGCGCAGGACGTCGTTCCGGGCGCGGATGGTCCGGTAGCAGAGGGACGAGTCCAGCGCCGCGCCGGGCGTTGCCGCCGCCGCCGCCGCCGCCGCGCCCGCTTCTTGCCCTTGGCCGTCGAAGCCGAGGAGGGTGGACGGGGGCAGGAGGGCCTCTTGGTCGACGACCTCGGACTTGTCCTCGTCTCCGCCGCGCTTGGCGAAGTCCACCTGTCGTGGTTGTTGTTGTTGTTGTTGGTGGTGGTGGTGGTGGTGATGTTTTATTGCCGTGGATGCTGTTGCTGGTGGTGTTGGCTTAGGTGGGTGGTGGTGGTGGTGGGTTTTTTATAGCTGTGGCGCTCGTTGTGGAACTTGTGGTCGATGTTGTCGGTGCTGATTGGGAACGGCTGTCCCTTCTGAAAGGCTTCCATCACGGCTGGCACCACCGAGTGTAGCTGAAGACGTCAAGCAACACCAGGCATCGTGCACGCCAACCCAAACTACAAACCAAAACGAAAAAACGCACGCAACAAACCATCGCTTCACTGCGGGCGCATTGGATTGCACTGTTTGACAGCACTTCGCTACAAAAAAACAAGACCAGCACCGAAGAACGTCGCTTCTATGGGTAAAAACGGCACCGTAGACAATGTTCTACGGACGACAACCCTACTCACGGTTTACGACCGTAATTGAGCAGTCCACAGATCTCCTGCCATGGCCGACAACGCCTCCCCCACGCACGGTTGATGAAATTTTTCTTCCATTCCCGACAACTCCTGCAAGGTTGATCGATCTCCTGCCATGGCGGACAACACCACCTCCACGCACGGCTGGCATCGTTTTCTTCCGTGGCTGACAACGCTACACTCCCAATGGTTGATACAAACAAAGGACAGGCAACAGCAGCGCGCACACCTGGCCGAGAAATAGAACACCCGCCAGAGCCCTGAACAGAGCGAGCGTCTCCTCCTCGCTGACGCCGATCAGACCTAACGCCGCCGTCGTCATGTCGTACCTGATATCCGGGCGCGCGGGCAAGGTCAATTTGGGTCACGCCGCCAGCACGCACACGAACGAGCAGCGACCGCACGTTCAAGCATCCGCTCGTCGCCACCACCGCCACCAACAATCAGAACGCCGATCTTGATCTCAAAAACCGTCAACACGAAACGAGATCATCGACGAAGGGCAACCACAAACACCACCCGCCAGACCAAAACCAACACGGCTGGCAGCAGCGGTCAGCACGCCGCGATCTTGCGACAAGAGAAACAAAAACAAAAAACCAATCACCCAGACGACACATGTAGCATACTGTACCAACCTCTGGGCGTCCGTCCTCCCCTCAATAACGCTGTCCGCCTCCTTCCCGTCGGCGGTGAGATACCGGAAGTCTAGGGCTAGCTTCCCCGCCAAGCCCAGCCTGGACTTGGCCTCCTCGGGGGCGGCTAGAATCTGACGGTGACAGAGGAGCCGCAGAGTAGAAAAATCAGCGTGCGCAAACGCGTCAGCGAGAGCTCGAGTGACGAGAACAACAGCAACAACAGCAACAACAACAACAACAACAACAACAACAACAACAACAAAAGTCGTCCCCTGCGTACAGAGGGCACAGCGGCGCCATACACCTCTGCCGATATACCTCCTCTCTTATCACAAGGTAGTAACGTTGGGCAGTCCAAGACGTACTATGGCGACCCCGATAGACACCACATGCTATTTCGTCGCTTTTTCTGCCGTAGGCTAATCTAGCCATCCTCCTTCGGAGTCATCGTGCAGCCTGCCTGCTGTCTGGAAAGAGGAGCAAAACTTGCCTGGTAAAAGACGTGGTAAGCCCTCTCTCCAGGCTCGTGGCCCACGACACGGCTCTTCTCGAGCAGGTACGTCGTACACCCGGACCCGGACATGCGGAACCCCCCGTCGAACTGCAGCTGGGTGAACTTCCCGAAACTTTTTTATGGGGGGAGAACGAAAAGGGGCACCGGTTGCGCAAAAACGCTCGAGCTGTTGATCGGTGGTGACAAGAAACTCGAGGATGAGCGGGATGATGAACACACAGCAGCTCAGCAGCGCAAATCGCCACAGAAGGGCGAGGGCCGACACCTGCGAAACGACAGCATGCTGCAGGCTGCAACACCCATATCCGATGGCCGGGCTTCACGCCCCCCACAGCGCACAAGCCAAACTCACGCACCATCATGAACCCTCTACCCCCCCCCCTACCCCTCACCGACTGCTGTTGTCGTTGCGCGTTGTCTGCGCGTTCCCGAAGCTCTCGAGCAGCGGGTTGGACTCGATGATCTTTCGAATGACGTCATCGTTCCCACCACCACCCTCCCCGCCGCCGGCCGCGACGCCCCCCCCGCCCTCATCTCCGTAGACAGCGCTGCTGGCAACGGCGAGATGCCCCATGAGGATCTTTACGGTCTCCGTTTTTCCCGCACCGGACTCCCCGCTGACGAGGATGCTCTGGTTCTCCCGGTCCTTGGAGAGACCCGCGAACGCCACAGCGCTGGGGGGTGGGGGTGGGGGGTGGGATGGGGGGATGTTGGCGGTGTTTTTCGACGGACGAGGGGAGAGAGGAAAGCTCTGTAGCCGAATACAGCTGTTGACACACACGAAAATTGTGTGTGAGGCATGGTACGAAAGACCAACTCGAGCTTGAAGCAAGGCAGGGGAGAGAACCCGGCTGATTCAGACCGCAAGCACGCACGCGAGCAAAGAAACCTGCCGCGGACGATCAAAAAGGCTTCCCTCCTCCGCTCGCAACACCAGCTCGGCAAGTGTTGACTGGTACAAGTACAGCACGGCTCACCTGGTAGAGTACACGTGGGGGGGAAGGCGAGATCTCTCTCCCCGGACCATGCCAGCGTACTGCTTTCTCCGCTCCTCGCCGTATAAATCTAGCCACCTATGGAGCAGCAGGGCACGATACAAGGGAGAAAGCCGTGGGGGGGGGGGAGCAGGCAAGGTTGCAACTTTGGCGGAGTCCACAGATTCCCCGATCATGCGACGAGCTTGTCATGAAGGCTTCCAAAGTCGGCAGCCTACGCCTGGAGCGGGAGTAACACTGGACAAGCCATGCACTCGAAATAAATAGTCGGGGACGCAGAGGAAACTCGGGGGGGGGGGGATACGGGGATCGTTGGGAGTGGTGGGGGCAATCAATCTGCGAAGCCGCAAGAAAAGTCTCGAAAACACACAAATCAATACAACATCGACCTTTTGGATTCTGAAAAAAAATCAATACAATAAAAAAAAACTCGGGAAAGGGGGTTATTTTCTTCAAAGTCTCACCGGTAGGGATTGCACGCGATGACGATCTCCCCGGTGTAGGTGTACGGCATCGCCCGAAAGAAACGTCTCCGGAGGTTGAACAGGATGGCCGGCTCGTGCAGGTAGTCGAGCCTCGTCATGTCCTCCACCCCATTGTCCGGCAACCCGAGGTTCTGCAGCGGCAGGCTGCTCTCGACGGCCGCGCCTTTCCTCTTGACCCCGAATTCCGGGCCTGTGTGTTTTGGGGGGACGAGTCGATTTAAGGTGGCCCGGGGAGTTGAGCGTGGTGAAAACGAATTCTGAAAGTGCTGCTGTGGCATGGAGAATTGGGACAAGGGGCTAAGGAAGCCGAAATCAAACCATTAGAGTGTACATAGTCAGCGCTGACTATTAGTCCAACGGTTTGATTTCAGGCTCTGCAATAGGGCTGTTGGTTCGGCTCGTGCCGTACGTCTCTCGAGTTTCAACAACATACTGTGCTGTAGCGCCAAACCAGGTGGAACGCCAAAGCTGTTAGGCAGCAGCCGGCAACGCTGCGAATCTGAACCAACACACGTGGAGGTCGCTCGTCGTCGGCCGTTTCGCCGACATAACACTTAGCCAACGATCCACCACCACTGCTTGTAACCGCCCGTTCGTAATATTACCAAAACACACACACAACAGCAGCAAGAACCCATTCAATCCCCGCCGCCAACCACCGCCGCTCCCCGCGTGTCGGTACCATCGAAAAACACCCCCTCCCTGCAGGGCCGAGAGGAGGTGGGGCACAACAGACAAGACCGTTCCTTCCCGCGCTGCTGCTGCTGCTGCTGCGTGCAGATGAACGCCGTTCAGCATTAGTCTAGGAAACAAAAATACAAAACACAGCAAGACTACCCATTCGAGATAAGACCACAGCAGTCGAACGGGATGTGTTGGAAGTCTGTACAGCATCATCATGCAGTTTGTATCCGGCACCTGCTAAGTCAACCCTCCGCACTTCCCCCGCTCCCCAGTCACTCTGGCCGGACTCGTCGTTGTCGTCCACGCCGTCGATGCGCACCTCGTACACCGTGCCCGCGACGGCGCTGAGCACCGAGGCCCTCGCCCACGCCGCGTCGGCATCGGGCACGTACACCTGTGGTGCGGTAGTACACAGCAGTGAGTAAATCGGGGGAACAAGCAACATCGCATCATCGCCTTGATGCGGTCGACATCATCGATCGGGTGAACAAACCGGCGTGTAGAGTAGTGTGCGATTTTGTGTTGCTTTGTTTACCTTTCGACAAAACATGTTTTTTCATTGTAGTTTGCCCCAGCAATTTTTTTTTTCTGCTTTTTTCCCGTGCGACAAAGGCTTGAACGTCGCATCTTGGCGAAGGACGCCGGAAGGTGTCTCAGTAACTTGCGGATACAAGCAGGAGCGCCGCCGCTGTTGTTGCTGTCGGCACCAAAAAACAGTCGGAAAGAGCAAAATCTGCAATCTGTCGTCGCGGGGAGATTATCAGCACACGCAGCTACAGTACGCGCGGGGAGATTATCAGCACACGCGGCTACTCTGCGTCTGTTCGTCTGTTCACCTGTTACGGAATTGCAACCTACGGTAGCGTATTGATGAACTTGCAACCAAGTCGCTACGCCATCGTCACCGCCGTGCTCTCCATGCGACCCCGTTGTGTGAGTACTGTACCTCCTTACCGACAACGACAACGCGACGCGAGTCTATGTAAACGTGTCGTGTACTACGAACAAGTGAAAAAGGTGCCGACAACAACACCTGTCTCCGATGAATATTTTTTTCGCAGCAGCGACAAATATTATTGTTGTGGACTTGTTGCCCCACTCATTAGATGACGTTGTAACAGAAGAGCGGGAACGCAACCAAGTTTGCGACTAATGCACGCGGGCACACCGCTCAACAAAAATCCGTCATTGCACTTGGCACCCGGCGCAAACACGCAGCGCCGCCTGTGTCTGCCCTAACAATACAAAATCAACACATTGGGGAGTAGTGATGGTTTTCTTTTATCTTTTCTGACCTGAGCCTCGGACATCAGTGGACTCCGCCTACGCACAGAGCAACCCTTTTCCCCGCCCGCCGCACCAATAAAGCTCCTGGCGGTCGGAAGCAATGCAATGGGCTCCGAAGCGGTCCTGGCGGGCTTGGCTGTAGAGTATCGCTCTGCTCGCCTGGTGCATTGTTGGTGTGTCGGCAAACGTGTCGGTGAGAGAGAGAGAGAGCCGTTGGTGCAAGGGGAGGGTCGGTTGCACTTTCGATACCGCGGTGCCCCCAAGCTGCCGCTGGCGTGTGTCATGTGTCTCACTTGCTTCACTTAGCAGCTGCACATTGAGGGTGGAGCGCTGTTCGACTGCTGCTTTCATGACGACGCGCCGACGAGGATCTGCTCTGGCGGTGTGTGCTGTAAGTCTTCTGTCGTCGACGTGCCTTGCTTTCGCGCCAGCGGCGCACCAGCTCCGTGCTGTACGACCTGTGTCACCGAGAGGGTCGACTACAGCATGCGGCACATCATTGAACCAGGTTATGTACATACATGCACTGAAGTTCACCTGTGACTACAGTTAGCTTCTGCTGGCTACATGTAGAGGGTCCTCGAACGATATCGTAGTCACCCACAGAAGCAAATGGACGATGTGATATCGGTGCTAACGCCATGCACACAACGTTATGCACTCCATTGTACTATGATCCAAAACCCCCGGCTCACGTACACGTCGCCATCATGCCGAATACACAATGTGTTGTCCTCGCAAAGCCTGGTGGTGAAGGTAACGAAGGCGGTACAGCATGCGATCGCACACTGCCGACTTAGCGGTCTACTGTTGTGATTCTCGTCCTCCGTTGCACTGCAGAGGTACGCAACCATCATCTTGGAGTTCGCTTCGACGCAGTGTTCGTAGTCACCTTGTATCACCGAACGAATCAACACAACTCGAGCCGAGGTCGAGTTCTCCGTAGACGCCATCCTGCTGCCGGGAGTCGGGAGGATGGGCAAACCCGGTGATGTTTGAGCTGCATTCCTCGCTGCAGGCAATGCACCGGATGGTAGCGGCAGCACTCGTGTATGAACCCATGCTCATGGACCTACCTACACGCTAGCCGCGCCCCCCGCCCGACCTCTTGTCTTCCGCCTATTTTGCTCAAGAAAGCACGTGGGGAAGTGCCATACAACTACCGTCGCCGTCCCTAAACAAGCATCACCGCATTTTTCTGGTGTGTGCACCACACGGACGCAACACACGATTCCTCCCACATGAATATCAGGAGGCGCAGCAGCCGACTCGCCCTAGGAATACACGCAGCCTCCGAATATCGTCACGCCAACGGTCGCGTCGCGACGGCCGGAGACGCCTCGGCGAGCTGGAAACCCGTGGTGGCGCGGCAGTGGTGGCGCTTGCCGCGGCGACAGCAGGCACGGGCGGCGAAGGGGAGGGGGAGAGCGGGGTGGCGGTGGAGGCGTCGAAAGCAGAAGAGCTTACCCAAGAGGAGAAAGAAGACGAGATCAACAAGCTGGTGGGTGAGGGGAGGGGCGATGCGTCGGTGGTCGGGTTTCAGCGTGGGCGAGTTGTTTGTTGGCGTGCCTGCCGCCCTGCCTTCCGTTACTGCTGTTAAGTTCTAGACGATCTCTCTTCTTTTGTCACGGGGAGCTCTTAGTGGTTGTCGGCACATGCAAACCCGGAGTGTGGGTGTTGCCGCACCCCGCGTGTGTCTTCAGACTCTCGGGCGTCTACACCGGTGGTGATGCATATTGTCGGTACCGGGGGAGCGTGCGTACGTGCGAAGGTTCTTCTGGCCGGGTCGAAGGTGTAACGGACCGCAAAAGTTGCATGCGTTCCAACTGAGTACCAAATGAGAAGCTATCCAGTCTAGACCAAAGGGGGGAAGCGAGTGGGGCAACCTGTACTGCTGCCGATGTGTGTGCCATTGCCAGTACGGACTGCTTTTCGCAACACTGGACCCGAATATCAAGAGCTGACTCCCAAGCACTCAACATGACTGGACATGCGCTGCGTTCCACAACGATGATCTGTAAATCGCCGGGTTCTTTTTCTCCGTTCCGCCTATGGGTCGCACCGCAACAACTCGCACCGTACCCCAGGTGTATGTGACCGAGGTCCTGTCTTCGTCGAAGATGATGACGATAGACTCGTTTGGGCCGGAGCAGTCGGCGTCGGCCAGGAGAGGGAAGAAGAGCAAGACCAACAACGCCTCCACGCAATCGTACTCTACGCCGGAGCCGATGCTACCGGAGGTGAGGGAAATTTTGTTTTGTTGGAGAGGGCGCGACTGGGGTGGGTTCGCAAGCTGCACCACTCTGGGCCGCTAAATGGGGCTTTAAGCATGTTTATGCCGACGAACCGTCACGGCCAATCCTGCCGGCCCCTGGTCAAAAGGCGACCTCTGTTCCAGTACCGATCGGTTTTTACTGCCATATACGTACTGCGAGAGGGTGTCGTGTACTCGAGTTCTTGGGCGGGAAGAGGTCAGGGGGCTGAGAATTGAGTGTTCGACCTTCGCCAGGCACAAGGGGAACTATTGCTGCAGTACGAACTTCAATTACACGGGCGACGCACACGATGAAGCACAGGTGGTGGAAGATGGCCGAAGCGCTTACGGGCACGCACTCACGTTGTCGTCTTGTGTTGACAAAACCCCTTGAATGGGGACCGCTGAGGACAGAAAAAAACTCCGTCGACAAGAGCCAGTGGCATGTTTACCGACGGGTGGACCTTTAAAGCACGATGGGATTAGCGTCTTGGACACACAGCGAACATGTACAGAACCGAACGGGGACTTCCGCGTACAGTACCGTTGGGAATGAGAACACCACTGCTCCGTGCACTCGCTGCTTTACATTGCGTGTGGGCATCCGAACACCGACCGTGTTGTACAGCAGGGCACCGTTGTGCCCGCTTTTTCTGTGACCCTTTTCCATGCCCTAGATCTCATGAAGCACACCTACATGAGCCCCCGGTAGTGACTTATGACCTCCGCCTTGGGGCACATCGGGCTATTTATTCAGTTGTTTTACGAAGGGATCTTTCGCGTTGTCCTGTCTCTAAAGCATCTCATCATCCTGTCTCTTTTGAGTTGTACCGCTAAGTTAACTACCGCCGCCTTCATTGGCGCCACACACCCCCATTACCCCGTCACGACACGCCCCTCGTCGTGCTTGGAACTCCCGCCCGTTTCGCCCACGGACCCAGGCGATCGCTAGGCAGAAGAGGCTTTACGAGAAGAGAAAGTGGCGCCTCATCGGAGACAACTTCTTCCTCGGCCTCCTGGGCACCGCCGGCGCCTGGGGTTTTTCCCTCAAGGCGGCGTGCAGCTACGGCCTAGGCGCCACGCTGGGCACCGCCTACCTCGTCCTCCTCAGCCGGTTCGTGGAGAACCTCGGCAACGAGAACGCGGACGGGGGCGGGGGAGGGAGGGGTGGGGGGGGCGGTGGCGGGCCGGCGAGACTTGCCCTCGCGGGCTTGCTGGTGCTGATCGTCTCCAAGAACAAGGAAACGTTTGACTTCATCCCGGCGGTCTCGGGATTCCTGGCGTATCAGGTCAGTTTGGGGGGGGTCGAGCGATTCGTCGGAGTCTCGAGAGATTTTCTGGGGACGTGTAGCATACGTCGTTGTAGAGCGACGGGGCTCTGGAGAATCGGCCGCCTCGAGTGTTGAGCTATGGTGGTGGTGGTTCGCCTTTCTGCGGCATTAGCCTCGCACTGCTTCAGTGTTAAGCACGGTCGCGATGATGAGCATCTTTGTCGATGCCATTCCACAGCCGTAGTTTTGTCCCACACTCCTCACCCACCCACCCCCTCCTCCCCCTCGCTGTCGCTATGGGCGTCGTACGCGCAGATTGCCACTCTTGTACAGGGCATCTACACGGACTTCGACGAGCTGGAGGATGCCGAAGCGGAGACAGCAGCCCCGCGCTAACGCCACCACCACAAACACAAACCCTGTGGGCGTTTTTGCTGCGCTCTTTGGGGAAACCGTTCTTTGTGGCTCTGGTTTGGCGAAGCCGTCTGGAGGCTGTCGCCCCACGGCCGAGTGATGGGCACAGACACCAATGATATAGAATTTTGTTGGCAACGCAGCTTGCCTCACGCGAACGTGCTAGTCCTCTACATGATTCTAGTTGTGTTTTTGTTTAGTGCTGTAGTCATGATGCGGGACCGTGCGTGACGACGACACCAGCTCTCTTTTTTCGGTGTCACCAGCGTGCCTGTGTCGTGAACTGCGCACCCGATATACTCATTAATGTTTTTCTCTAGAGGGCTTACGCCAGATACCCGCGCCTTTTGTCTTTTTAGCGGCAGCGACAGCCTTGTGGGGAGGGGGGAGGGGGCAGGAGGGCATCACTGTGCGCCGATCATGTGTTATCCGGCGGTCCCATAATGCTTGTCGAAATTTAACTCATGTCCGTGTTGTTGTGCTACACACACGAAAGCACGAAAGCATTGTGCTCTGCGGGCGAGGGTGGGGCTGGCGGACGTGTGCCCCAGGCTTCTCAAATTTTGGTGGATTGGGGGAGATAATTCTATTGATTTGTATTGTAATACAGTTTATGCTTACCTTGCAGGCTATCCCATGTCGACTGTTCCTTCAATCGGGCGTGTTTCCGCCGAGCCAGGTAGAGGTCTGACTTTATAGGCTCCGTCGAAGCACTTCTGAGAAAAACGTCGACAGCGTGTGTCCGATCCAACGTACGACAGAGCAGTACCGGGCGCCACGATTACGCCGATGATACACAAGGTTATCGTGCAGAGGGGGTGGCTTTGTCGGGGAACGACAAGCAGCCTTTTGTTTGGTGCCCAACGCGCAACAAGCAAAGCTGTTTCACTCTCCGGTGGGTGAAGCACAAAGGCACGTAAAGGTATCCTGCTCGTTATGTGTCGTCATGGGACAGACTTGTCATCATCGAGATGACGAACACCCGTACGCATACATCCTCGGTCTACCGGGCGTGCGTTCAGCGCGGTAAGCATGTGGGAGAGCGCGAACTCGCCCACGTCAGCAACGACCTAAACGGGGTCCTATCCTGTTTGGATCGTGTATTTTGCTCCCCCGGCGGGTGAAAAGGGGTGGTGCACCGGACAGCATACTTTCGGTCGCTCTAGCTGTGCCCGCCCCAGGGGATCTTGACGGTGTAGGAGAGGCACCGCACAGTGGACGAAAGCGGTCCATCAGGGTCCTCCTCGACGCCGTCACCACCCGTCTCCTCGGGCTCGGCAGCAGCGTAAGCCGGTTCACCACCCGGAGGTTCAGCTCTACCGTCGTCGTCCATGGAAATCGCGGCATCGTCGTGGTCCTCTTCTCCCCGCGCTGTCTCCGCCCCCCTGCAGCAACTGACCCCTCCTGCTCCGTGGGGCTTGGCTTTACCGTTTGCATGATGAGGTGGATCGGACTTCGACAGAGCGCATTCTTCCGTCTCTCGCTGCTCCTCCTGCTGCTCCGCCACCAGCTCGTTATGTTGCCCCTCCTGCTCCTTGACGACCTCCTCATCGTGGAGCGCCCTCGCGCCACGATCGCTACCGCCGGCGTCATAGTGGTCCCCCTCACTGGTATCGCCGTCGGCGGAACGCGTATTTCTGTGGACGGCCGTACCGTCCGCGGAGCCCCACGGGCGGTCCCCCTCGTCCAGCGCCCCCACGCCACGATCGGTACCCCCAACATCGCAATACCCCCCCGCGCTGGCATCATCGTCGGCTGTCGGCCGATTTCTGTTGACGAACGGAGTACCATCCGCGGAGCCCCACCGGCGGTTCCCCTCGTCCAGCGCTCCCACGCCAAGATCGCTATTATCGCGAACATTATTGCAGTGCTCTCCCCCACCATTGGTATCGCCGTTGGCGGTGGGCAGGTCCCTGTTGACGAACGTAGTACTATCTGCGGAGCCCCACCGACGAGTCGCCACCGCCGTCGTCCGCATCTCCCCCCAGTCGAGCGCCCCTCCCCCGGAGAAGGGAACAATCCAATCCCCGCCGCTGCCCACCCCACCACAACCTCCCCCTCCCCCTCCCCCTCCCCCTCCCGCTCCTCCTCCTCCTCCTCGCCGCCGCGGCGACAGACAGAGCTGCCCTGTGCGGGGGCACAGGCCCTCCGACTGCCGCCAGAGCTTGCGCCCGCCGGGAGAAAACCGCCCGCGAGTCACGGACCTCCTCATCTCGGGGCGGCTCGGGGTGCGATGCATTCGGTGGAAGACGCTCTGCGATGTTTTTGCGAAATGCACGTATCGTTCGTCGTCATCAAATTGTTCGAGTGGGAAATACTAAATTGTCGTTTCTAGTTGTAAAAGTTCTAAAAGAAGAAGGTTACATTTCAAATTATGAAGATATTGATATTACTAAAAACGGAAAAAATGAAGTAGTACTTTGTCAAGCTTGTATCATACCTGCGGAGCGCGAAGGCGCCCCACGGCGACGGCCGCAGCGTGATCGGAGCGCACCCTCGCGCGCTCTGACGCCGCCGCCGCCGCCGCTGCGGCGACGACCTCGAGCTGCCGGCGCGCTTCTTCTTGCCGCACGACGGCATCATCGTCTGTGTCATGCTGTGTTCAGTTCAGTTCATCACGCGAGAGCGGGAAAAACAAAACTTTAGATGGACGAGTCGAAGCACAGCGGAGTACCGCCATACTGCAGTGGGAAACACACCAACCTCGGGAGCACGAAATCCAGGTGTTAGTGACCGGAGGGCGTGCAATTAAAGCGTATCAAGCAAGACTTCGGTGTCAACACCGGGACCGACGGTGGTCGCCAGGGCCAGCGAACGGGTTGGCACGCGGGGAAAAGGTCTGTAGCTACATCTGGGTAGAGCGCGGGGCCAAGTGCTGCTGCCCGAAGCCAACCCTCACTTGCATGTCGTCTCGAACCTCGCCAGTCCGTAGTTCTGGTCGGCGTTGCTCGCGCGACCGAGCCTGCGCTTCCGCCTCCGCCTCCTTGACTACCTCTGCGGCCGTCTGCCACGAGAACCTCTTGGCGTAGTCGAAGTACTCTTCGTCCTCGTCCTCCATCCCTTCTCTGCCGTCCACCTCCTCCTCGTCCTCCTCCGCCTGCCAGGCGACGATATCCCCGCTGACGTCGACGATTTCCTCGGCCTCCCTTCCTAGGACAGGCCCGTTGCCGTGACCATCGTGATCATCAGCATCACCCGCGTCGCCGCCGCCGTCGCCGTTTAAGCTCGGTTCTATCCGGTCGTTGTCGACCCGAGTAGTTTCGAGCCCCACACCCGTTACGGCTGCCGTCGCACCCGGGACTCTGGCGGCCTCCAATCTCAAACAGGCGCCGGCTCGCCATTTACCGGCAACCTGGGGCGACCTCGCCCCCGCCCGTACGCCTTCCCGCGTCTCTGCTCCCGAGGCGGTCCCCCCCGTGAAGTCCTCCGGGCCGCCTACGTAGCGGACAGCACAGCGCTTGCCGGCCGAGGCCGCCGCCGCTGCGGGTCGTGTGTGATGCTGTTCCGGATGGCTAGGGGGCTCGCGGTCCTCCGACGCCCGCTTCGCGGCTTGACTAGCCGGCGTTATCGTTGGGATGTCCACGCTCCCGCGGTCTGCTGCTGCCGCGGCCTTGAGGCCTTTCGGGGGCCGCGGTTCCGATTCCCCCCTCACTCGCTTGCCCGTCGGCAGCCCTTTGCCGTGGAAGAAGTCCCGAGCGATCCAGACATCGTACAGCTCGGGTTGGGGCTTGAAGGGGGAGGTGCTAACGTTGTCGTTGCTGCTGTCGATGGCTATCGGTGATCTCGTGATGCCCACTTCGCGCCCCCGACGATTTTCTCCCCCGTCTTCTTGGAGGATGGAGACAACCTTAGAGTTGAGTTTTGCTGGCGATTCCACGATGCAATGGCCGCCGCCGCCGCGCACGCGCATGCGCGTTTGTCTGGCCCTTCCTCGACGCCCGCGCTTGGCCCCCTGAAGCGCCGCTAGCCGTCGCGCCGCCTGCACCGCCTCCGTATTCTTTGCCCCCGCCGCCGTGCTCGGCAGCATGATCTCGTTGGCCCGCAGACGACACCGTGTCTGCCGCGCCTGCGGCCCTTGTTCGCTTCCCTCGTCGTCGGAGACTGCCCAGGGAGCGCTGACGAAGCTCAGGGCGAAGGCGGACGAGTCATCCTCGTCGTCGTCCTCCTCCCTCTTCGACTCAAAGCTGGGTCCCGTGCGACCACCCCTGCTCGTATTAGTAGTAACGGAACAGCAGCTGTTGTTGGTTTCCGGCACCATATCGACCGCATTTCCCCAGTCCTCCGGGCTCGTCGCAGTCGACGACCCGCCGTGCTCCGCCCCTATTGACGCCAGCGATGCCGTCGTCGATGCCCCCTCCGACGGCTCGCACAGGAGGCCGAGCTTGGACTCTGACCATGGCGGCGGGTCCGGCCCTTCGACCGGCTTCGTGACGGGGGGCTCCTGCGCGGTGAAGACCTCCCCCCGCCGGTGCCTGCTGCTGTCCTTGCTGCCGGGGGGCCTTGTCGGGCTACCGGCGTCTCCGGGCCACGTGGCACGAGCCCCGACCCCAACGGCGTCGGAGGCTGGGTCAGCAGCAGCGGCGTCGGCGGTGTCAGCGGTGGTTGAGGTCTTTGACCCACGCCGTTTGGCCCTGGCTTGTCGTTGGTGGCGCCGCTCGAGAGTTGCCTCCGAGGGCACCGCAGCTTCCGTCGCGCGCCAAAAGCCGGGACTCGACGGCCGCGGCCCTAGCGGGTCCACCTTGCTCATGACGCCTAGCTCGCCGCCAACCAACCCGAAGTACTGTGTTTATTTTCGGTAAGGGTGCGTGGTTCAATGGCACTCCACCCGGAAAGAGAATAAAATATGGAGGCGTCTTTTTGAGTCTTGGTGCATTTCACATCCTCACCAACGGAGCAGCCGATCGGACTGTATTTTCTTATCCGTTGTCATGTGTTTGTAAAGCGAAAGTATCATACCAGGCGTGCCATCCTACATGTCGACTATATGTGCAGACAGGTGTTGGCGAAGGACATTGTCCCCAATTTCAAGCAACAAGTGCTCGAGAACATACAACACCATCTGGAATCACAGCACGATGCAGTCTGCCGAATGTCCCGTCAAAGTTAGCGAGGGCTGCGAAGTCTACACTTCGGCCGGATGCCATGGGGCCGCAGGAGGCAGGCCTTGCTAGTTTACGGGTAGTCTACCACCGCTGCCAACAAGGCACCTTTGATGTCCCACCTTCGTGGTGTATTCCGGAGGTATCGACGACGGCACGAGCGCGGACGACAAGTCGACAACAACCCGGTGCTTGGGCGACGGCGGCTGCTGGACGTTGTCATCCGCCGGTAGCAAACACGAACGCCTTGGTGGGACTGGGCCAGACTTCTCCCACCTGGGCGTTGGCAGGCACCGGGCTTCGCGCCAAGGTCGGCTCCATTGCTGGCAGGAGACGAAAGATGCAATGGTGCAGACGTGTTTGTACATGAGTTAAGTATTTACATGGGTACGTACTGGTTGCCCTGTACAAGACATGCGAGATGTGCTGTTGATGCGCAGGAACGAGCTGCTTCGCACGACTCACGACCTCGAGCGGGAGGTAGAACGCGGCGTGCGAGCTGTCGGCGAAATATATGTCTCCGTCATGAATGGCGTACGACACTCTTTGCAGTTCCTGTACTGTCCATGGACTGACCGAAAGGTAAAAAGTTGTGTCTTTATTATTAGCATCGACCGCACTAACCGGTAAAAGGTGTGCGGGTGTGTGTGTGATTTTTGTCGGTCACATTACACAGACTATACTTGCAATGTGAAGAAAACAACAACAACAACAACAACAACAACAACAACAACAACAACAACAACAACAGCTAAATCACGTTGAGAAAGATCGAGATTCCAATATATATCCATTCGATTTCAGTATGCACTACATTTTTTTGCGTGCATCGTCTTAGGTATGATGCAGTGTAAACCTGGGGTAGATGGTCTACGTATACACACAGACACACTGCTGTATCAACTGTTATCGGTTGCATAAGATACCACACCCCCTGGACCGTTTTTCGATTTTCAAAGTCGGAGTACTCCACGACGAAGAAGACGCCGAAACCAAATGATACGTTGCGGAATTTCTCGACGAGACTGCTGCTCCACCGCCACCGTCACTCCTCTTTCTGTCGAGTAAACCGAGCTTTGAAAATCTTTCCAAGGGGTGTGATCTCTTCCGGTGTGTGCGTATACTGGTGTGTACAGTCAACAGCGAGAGGAGCGCCACGATGTTACTCTCGAAAAAAGGGCTCCCGGATCATGACACACCGCGCCGTAAAACTTTCACTCACCGAGCGATCGCTATCACCAGGCTGCTGCTGGCCCGCCAGCGGAAGACCATTGACAGTTTCGTTCCTCTCGCCTGTTGCCGTCGATGAGCAGACAGCCGTCCAAGACGGCTGTTGGTCGGCACCGGCACCGTCGAATTCAAAACTTCCCGCCGCGAGCTTGACGAGCTTGAGCGCGCAGCAGCCGTGGTCCCACGGCGCACCGTCTACAACGGAGGGCGCCATGAGGGTGACAGCCCGCTACAGCAGCAGCAGTAGCAGCACCAGCACCAGCACTACCAGCAGCACCACCAGCAGTGGCGTGCAAGGTCACGAGAACGTGTCTTCGGGTGTACGCAGGTGTCTGCCTTGTGGTCTATTGGTACGTCGCCTGTTGCCTGTTGACCCGCCTCTGTGCGAAGGCGTGTCGGTTTCACGTGTCTTTGATTGGTCAACGGGGACGGTCCCGTCTCCTGCAGACCGCAGATCGGAGATCGGGCACGTGTGATATTCATACGCTCATATGCTACATTTTCCTCCACCTTCCCTTCCACTCTCTCCCTCTCCGTCTCTCTCTTTCTCTGCGGCACCCCAGGACCCGCACGCTTCACACGGACAACAACAGCACCCTATGCTAGTGCAGGTGGTCTCTCCATCGCCATCCGACAAGCGTGAGTGTGCTGCCCTTCAATTGCTGCCCTTTTTGCTCTGCTGTACCATGGTATGTTCTCTCGACGAGAAAATAAAGCCGAACGCATCGTTTCGGTTCATCAGCGGGGTGTTCAATTTGCCAGCTGCTGCCAAATGACCTGTTTCAGAGAATGCCCCAATCGAAGGAGTGCAGTGTGGAGTTCTTCGTAGGTGTGAGTGTGGAGAACGAACAGCAGGATATATCTACTACTGTAGGACGATGTATGTGCTTGTATGTAAGCCATGCAAGGTACGGTTCTCCGTCGGGTCTCCGCCGGCTCTCGTATTACCCGCTACCCCGCAGCCGCCAGGGAATGCGGTGATGTAGTGTAGTAGAGGACACAAAACACGGCACAACAGCAGTGCGATGCGCGATGCATCAGCGTTGGAGTGTCGAAGTCGTGTGCCACTTCAACGTGCACCCTCCTCCCGGACGGCCTGCGGGCCGCTCGTTGGGTTAACAGCCTCGAAACTTCGGCGGGAAATTTTTCGTGCAACAGCCAGCAGTTCGACCGTTCTCACAAGCACAGCAAGCACTTCGTTACGCAGCTGTTTTTTTGCGCTCTCCTCGCCGGCATCCAAGTACTTCCCGGAGCCGAGGGTTCGTTCAGGCTCTACGGTGCTATGATGCAGCAGTAGAATCAGCGGCAGCGGCGGCAGCAGCAGCAGCACATCTTATTTGGCAAATCACCCATCATTTGAGGTGCTCGAAAGCAACCCGGGCGGATAATTAAGCCCGAAATCCCCGACAAACCGACGGATGTCCAAAGATTCACTCTTACTTCCGGTCGTCCGCACCTTCTTACTCGCATGTAGAAGTATGCAACCCCACCTATTAATACTACAACTACAACGAGCTACACCAGTCCAGCATAGTATTAGATTTTTCCATTCTCCACGCGCTCGCGCCGAATTCCAGCTGGCCGGGCGCACCTGCACACAGCAGTTTGGCTGTTTCTGCTGCATTTCTCTCAGACGGGGTTGGATCACCGCTCGCCGCTCGCCATAGAGGGCTACGGCGGTGCCACGGCTGGTAGCACGCACACGCGGAACGCCACCACCAGAGGGGAGAAAGTACGTCCGTCTACTATCCAGCCAGCTCTTGCGCATGTTTTTCCTTTCTTTTTTAACGCCGCAAGAGCAAGTAATCTCAATTACGTGTTGGACTACTGCTGCTGCTGAAGCTGCTGCTGCTTGCTGCTGCTGCTGTGGCTGTGAGCGCTTTTAATGAAATGCGCATGGCTCCAGCCAGCACACATGACACGAAACCGCATGTGTGTTTGTGCGACGATCATCCACGTTGCTTGCAAGCACCCCGCGGGTCGATCATTGCAGAATTCCTCGCGGTTTTGTTTTTTGTGCGTCGCCGTTGTTGTTGTTGTTCTTGTCCCCCGAGGGAGGGTGAGCGGCACCCTCTTCGTTTTTTGCGCGCGGTATGCGCATGTTGGTGTACTGCTGTAGTAGTTCGTTGGCCTTGTTTTTGGTCGAAGTACAACTACTGCAGAGCGAGTTTCCTCCCCAAGAACAAGAAAAAAATTCAGCTTCGTCGCGAGTCGACCAAAACCGAACACACTATCCGTGTTGAAGGGGTGTAGACAGCATGCATGTGCATGTAAGGTTTCGCTAGAGGCAGCTCGTACCCGATGAGGGTCCTCGCCGTGTACTAGCATAAGAAGGCGAAAATTCTCGCTCGTATTCTCTTGTCCCTCCAAGGTCAAGGCACGCTATTATTTTAATAATCTCCACACGACCCCGTTAAGTGTTAGACTAGTACGGACAGAAGAAGGTACTGAGCAGAGAGAATGGAACGGTTTTTCAATGTAAAGACAACAACAACAACAACACACACCAGCCGATATCAGATATAAATTCCGTTGCATGATTAGCCCGTTCCCTCTCTCTCTCCTGGTTTGCCGTGCGCGCCCGGGCCTTGTACCGCCATCATCATCGCAGGTACAAGGCACCGCAAACGAGAATAGTTATTTTTGGATCTAGAAAGGGGAGCGATGTCGCGAGCAGGGCTGGAGGAGAGAGCCATTCCGCCGGTAGACGTGGTGGCTGAATCAAGCATGTCATCGGTGAGGACGGCGACATAAAAAACAGGAGATGATTGATTCCTTCAAGTGGGGAGGGAGGGGCGGCATGGCGTTGCGCACCAGGGGACTGACTGCTCCCCTTGCTTCGGTAGCCGAGTTGTTTCTTTCGTCCAGCCCAGTCTCTGGGGGAAGGGGGAGAGGGGGGGCAGGTCGACACACACTCTTGTGCTAATTTTCGGCATTAAAAATTGTCTCGGGTGGGGGAGCAAGTACACTTCAGAACAGAGAGGATCTATATCATATGTTGTATGCGTACACAGGGCGTACGCTGTTGATTTTCTCGTCACATCGGAGCGTTCCTGGTTTCCAATCAACCTGGTTTCCGTTCATCGGCGGGTCGACCCCACGAACGAACGTTGCCACGCTCCGTCTCCACGGGTGTGCGTGCGCACGACCGAAAAGAGCTGTCCGTCGTAGCCCGCAACTGTGTATTTTTAGCTTTGAACAACGCTGGGGGGCAACGACAAAGGAAAATGAAGTGTGTTTTGTTTGTACTTTTTCTGCTCATCGGTCGGGAATCCTATTCCTCGACATGTTAACCTCTAGCTGGGAGTTTTGCGTTTCGGACGAGACGCTCGTTCTTCGAAGCGAAACGTGAAAGCAGTTTGCACCCCCCCGGGGCGCTCGCTCTACATGTATGATACCTCCTGTTGTGATCTGCCATCGACGCCCGCGAGTTTTGTGGGATTGGCGCAAAATGACTTTGATGTTGGATTTTATCAAGAAGCTGTGAGCCGACCGCCGTGTTTCGGCATATAAGAATCATATGGTTTGTATGCCACCTTGTAGAAGTGCGGTTGGCCTTGTGTTTTAACGTCAGTTCGCCGAAGAGAGACGTACGAACGTACAACGTGCTGTGAGTCTCGGGTACTCTTTCCCTTCGGTGATGGAAACATTTCGGTGGGCGGGCAGCCGGCGCGAGAAAGATAGATGCCAGCACCACTGACAACCAAGCGACCAAAATGAATTGACACAATCGCCTACCACGATTTTTTCTACGATATGGCGTGCGAAGCTGCATGCACATACATGCATTTACTGTCGACAACTTCAACAAGCCAACAATGCAGCGTATTTGCTACAGCTGCTGTGGCGCAGAGTAGATCTGGCGCGAATCGCATCGCACGGCCCACTCATTCCTCGAACAGCGCTTTCTTCAAGGCTGTTGCTAGCTGTTCTGGGGATCGTGCCGACGATGGCGACCTGTGATGTTGACACCGCGCCACCCTGTCCGGCCAGTAACGCAATGTACCGAACCGACGGTCTCTGACGTTTTGGCGCCGACGATCGCATGGGTATGACGTTTTTTGTTTTGTTTTTTCTGTTGTTTCGTCACCCTTGAAGATACTCCAACGGCTCTCAATACCTGTACATCTTCTATGTACTGCTGTGTAGAAGGACCCGGTTCAACGCCTACGTTTTTCTCGAAAGCCGTTCATACAAACCGCGTTCAACACACCCGCCCGGTGGGCAAGCTGTGTGCTCGTTGTTCCGGGGCCAAATGTTTCTGCTGAAAAAAAACAAGGAAGCTACAGTAGATAGCAATATTTGCTTTGCAGGCGACTAGAGTGAAGATCGGCCAATATATAGCCCTATGTTCCGAGGTCTCCCATTTAACGTGTCTCGAAAACAAAATATCCTGAGGGTCATGGGAACGAGGCATGACCACACTGTTTCGATAGCGCTTCGGTGAACGTATCGTCGCGTTTCTACCCCCTGGTGCCTCAGACTACGCCCCCCCCCCCCCCCCCCCGCGCGTGCGCCCGTGTCCCTCTCTTTTTGAGAACAGGAGATGCGAAGACGGCTCGCGCTGCGCGGCTCAGGCGAAACCCTCCTCCTCCTGGCGGCGTCGACGTTGAGTAAGGACGGCCTGGTTCGGCTACCCTACCTCGACACGCTTGCCCCGTCGAAGGCGCCGCCGTCGCAATCGCCGCCGCTTCCGGCCGCCGCCGCTTCCGCTGCGGCGGGACCCTGGGGAGACTGGCTGCGCATCATGGCGTTGTGTTGCTCGTGCTCAAGCGGCGGCGACGGGCACAACGATTTCACGCCCGCCTTTTCCGCCGCCACCAAAGAAGAAACGCCCACCGCCACTAGCCGGTGCCGCTGCCCGATCGCCACCGTCGAGAGCTTCCTCGGCAACGCGGCAGCGGCGGCGGCGCGACGAACCGACGACGAACGGTCCGCTACTGCGGCGGCGGAGCAGCAGCAGCAGTACCGACTCGTCCGCTCGGCGTGCCGTGACACGGCCGAGTCCCTCCTGTCCAGCGCCACGCGCCTCCTGGGCGAGCGGGACTGGGCCGACTGGCTCAAGGCGCCCCTCATCGGCGCCGCGTCCCAGGGCGACCTCGACGCCGTGCGGCTGCTCCTGGCGGCCGGCGCCGGCGGCCGGGGCATCGGGGCGTGGATGATCCCGGGCGGGGAAGGGCGGACGCTCCTGCACGCCGCTGCCAGCGGCGGCAGCGCGGCGGTGGTCGAGGCCCTCATTGACGCCGGCACCGGGGTTATCGCGAACCATTCCA